TTCGGTACGCGGGCCTCTCACTGTTGTGGCCTCTCCCGTTGTTGCGGAGCACAGGCTCCGGACGCGCAGGCTCAGCGGCCATGGCTCACAGACCCAGCCGCTCCGCGGCATGTGGGATCCTTCCGGACCGGGGCCCGAACCCGTGTCCCCTGCATTGGCAGGCGGACTCTCAACTGCTGCGCCACCAGGGAAGCCCACGATGTACTTTTTAAATAAACAATAAATAAGACTGGCATGCCTTTTAAATTAGTGTGGTTTAATAAAATGCTCATGTACATTTTAGTACCCTTGTCACATCCTCATATCGTATGTTCTTTGTTCCCGTTTTCATTTCCTCCTGTTTCTTTGCCTTGCTGTCATCTCTACTATTTTTCTCTTTCTCTGTTTTTCACTTTTTTCCTTTCTCTGTATTAGCTAAATGGAATTTCAGGTAGTCTCATCTAGCTACCCAGGTGCTAAACGCTAGATAATTTTATGGGTGCCTCGATTTCCCCAAAGGAAAAAAAAGTCTCTTATATACAAAAGTTTAAATGGTGCTGATGTGGGGAAGCCAAAGGGAGCTGTAACTCATCAAATCTCTTCCTCTCTCTTTACCCTTGGCTGTTATCCCTAAATTCTTAGTCTTGTTTCAAGGAGAAGCTTGATTTTGCATTCAGATTTACTATTGTAGAGAATTTCACAGGTGTTTGCTGGGAGTGAGACATTCTGAAACAGCACTGATACAGCCTCAGACCAGCTTGGTTTTGAACATGAGTGTGATGGACAGTCGGTTTGCTTTTTGTTGGCCCATGAATACTGTAGTCTTTCATTTTGCAGCGAATGGCTGGAGGAACATTGGTCAGGCTTATAGACTAGGATTGTTCAACCGTCATAAGCCAAACAGTGTAAACAAGTGGGAGCCATCTCAATGACTTTTTTTCACACTGACTCATCTTGGTTAAGGTCTTGAAGCTTCATGTGTCAAAAATATTTCCTAATTTGGTTTATTATGCTCGCATTTATTTTTTTGACATTTATGTCTTCTTACAGTTAATTTTAATGTCCATAAATGA